TATTTTAGGTTTCTCCAAACTTTTTTTAAAAAATATTTTATTTATTTATTTGACAGAGAGACAGTGAGATAGAGAACACAAGCAGGGGGAGTGGGAGAGGGAGAAGCGGGTTCCCCGCCGAGCAGGGAGCCCGATGTGGGGCTCGATCCCAGGACCCTGGAATCATGACCTGAGCCGAAGGCAGACGCTTAACCGACTGAGCCACCCAGGCATCCCGGTTTCTCAAAATTTAAAAATATTTTAACATGATTTAATTGACTAATAATGAATTTAGAAGCTGAAAAACAGATGGAGATTTAAAAACTGATATACTCATCACACATCCTTTAAGAAAAGTTACAATGGATAAGTGAAAAGATTATGCATTTACTGCATGTGCCGCTCACTGTAATCATAGGCTGTTACCCCCAGTCCTTGGTTCTCCTCTCTTTTCTGCCTGCATTCACTCCTTTGGTGACCCTATCCACTCCCAAGGCTTTCAGTACCATCTACCTATCGCCCTGTCAGCTCCCGACCCGTTCTGTACCCTTCTTTATCAGAGTTCGTGGTACCTTTATCCTTCCAGTCACTCAGGCCAAAGACTTTTGGGTTTCTCTCACATGTAGTTTTTCAGGAAGTCCTTCAAAAATTTGAAGGAAGTCTTCAAAATATATGCAGAATCTGGCTGCCCCTCACCACCTCTGCCTCTATGACCCTCTACCATCTTCTCTCACCTGGATTCCTGTGGTAGCCTCCTAGTTGGTCTCAAGCTTCTCCCCTTGCCCTCCTTCTATAGTCTGTTCTTAACGATGTGTCAGAGTGATCCTTTGACACACAGGCATATCACATCCTCCTTACTGATCCTGAAAGATGGGACCCCCTTGCGCCATTCAGTAACAGCCCGCATCCTGGCAGTGGTAGTCAGGGCCCTGCATGATCTAGCCTCCTGTGCCCTCTCCGAGTTCCTCCCTCCCTCATTTATTCCAGTCGCTACAGCCTCCTTTCTGTTCCTCAAACATGCCCGACATGCTCCATCTCGGGGCTCTGCTGTACCCGCTCCCTCTGTCTGCACGGTGTTCTTCCTTCACCTATCTGCTTGACTAAGTCTCTCGCCTCCTTCAAGTCTGTGCTCAAATCAGACTCCATTATCAGCCCTGCCTGTTTTGATCATCCCACTTAATAGTCCAGCCTTCTGGCCCTTTTCTCCTCACAGATGATCGATCCCTAATAGCCTGTTTTTCTTTTTCTGTTTTCTTTTTCCCATACAGTTACATACATACATCTCCCAATATCCTTATATAATTATCATGTTTATTGTTTATTTTCTCAGACTGTCCTGCCTCCATTAGAATATAAACTGCATGAGGACTGCGATCTTTTTTTTTGTTCATTCATCCCTAGAATTGTGCCAGACACATATGAAGAGCTCAATAAATTACTGTTGAATGAGTGGATTAATAGACAGATTCTAGCTGAATTTTTGCTGTGGTAAACAATGGGAAGGGGGAATGGCTTTTACCATAAAACATTTTTTTTTAAGATTTTATTTATTTATTTGAGACAGAGAGAATGAGAGAGAGAGAGCACATGAGAGGGGGAGGGTCAGAGGGAGAAGCAG